TTTAATTATTTATTTAAATAAAAAATATAAGCCCCCCTTTCTTTTTTTTTTATACATATTTTTATCTATTTAAATGAGATTAAGAGTCATTTTTTCTTCTCCTTTAAAAACCCTCCCTTGGCTTTCCTTTCCTTTTCTATTTTTATTTATTTATTTTTTTTTGGTTCCCCATCCGGTATCCGGGGCTTCGCCTCGACTACTCCGGACTCGACCAGCTGTTGCGCACCAGAATGGTGGGTGGGTCTCCCAACAAAGATTGCTGCGTACATAATGTCTCGAACTCGAGACCTTGCTTAAGCTGGAACAAGCCGCTTGCCACTTGATCCAACCCCTCGTTGGTTTCTATTTTTATTTTTACCAAACTAAAAACTTCAAGGTTGGTTCAACCCTAGACAAATTATAATCTAAAAATCATAAAAAAGATTCTATATTCTTCAAATAAATTTAAAATTAGGAAAAATCAATAAAATTAACAAGAAAATGCCAAAAAAGTATAGAATTTCATTTGGTCAACGACAAATTTTTTTTTTTTTAAAATTACAAATCAATTTACTAATTTTTATACTCATGCACACCTCTCACGTTTCTTCTTTTCCTATGTCCATTCTTCATCTTTTCCATTCTCTATCTTTTAGTCTTTTTCTTTTTCTTTTTCTTTTAGTCTTTTATTTTCTTTTTCCTTTTACTCTTTTATTCTTATTCTTTTTCTTATTCTTTTACTTTTTTATTCTTATTATTTTTCTTTTTCTTTTACTCTTTTATTCTTTTTCTTTTTCTTTTTCTTTTACTTTTTTATTCTTATTATTTTTCTTTTTCTTTTTCTTTTACTCTTTTATTCTTTTTCTTTTTCTTTTACTCTTTTTCATTTTCTATACTCTTTTTCACTCCAAATTTTTACCCTCTTTCTCTTTATTTTCTTCTCTTTAGTTTTTTATTTTTTATTTTCCCTTCACCGTTCCTCCATTTCATTCTACTTTCCCTTTTATTTAAATCCAAATTCACGTTACCACTTACAAAGTACATCAACTCATCTCAGTCAAGAAAACTTAATCAAAGACTCAATAAGAATGTTAAACCTCCAAAATAAAGATATATAAGAATGAAATATATCAAAAAAAGAATAATCATTTTGTGTTGAAGGTTCATTTAGATGTAAATTTTATTTAAAATTTTTTTTAAATGTTTCAATAATAATAATAATAATAAAGGAATAACAGAGAACATGAAACAACCACAAAAAATAACTCACTAAAAAGGTTTTATTTTTTGCTACACTTGTTAATTTTTGGCATTTTAGTATTGCGTCAGAATATAGCTTCATTTATATGTTGGGAATTTTAGAAAATTCTCAGCATTTCTTGGGTGCTTAATTTACAAAGATCGGTAATATTAAATTATATGATTGTGTCCGACAACGCCAAGAAATGATATGTTGATGTAAGATTTCTAATAAACTCTATGGAATTCTTGGCGCTAAATTTGCAATGACATTTCTACAAATATTCTGCTAAAAAATAACTTTGACAACTAAACTAAGAGTATATTGAAATTACTCTTTCATTTGTCTCAAAATAATTGTCATTTTTTAATTTTAAATTTATCCTAAATTAATTGTTATTTTTTATTTTTTAAAGTAAATAAATATATTTTTTACTTTAATCCTAACTGTTATCCATTTACTTTAATTAATCATCTAATCATAAAAAGTTTCTCTTTATTTTTTATTTCTTTTTTAAAGGTATTATATATAAATACAAATAAAAAATGTACAACATGATATGTTATTATACAATTAACTTTTTTATCCAAAGTTTATCTGTGATATTATATATATTTACTTGTTTAACATTATGTTATATTCATTTAATATTATGTAAAATTATAAGTTTACAATCTTGATGATATTATAACTATAATATTTTCAAAATATAAATATTATCCTCATCTTTAATTTAAAGAGAAACAAAAAAATAACAGTTATTTTAGAATAAAATATAAAAAATTGTTGAAATCAAACTAACTGATAACTTTTTATTAATAAAATAATTTTTATACGAAGAATTTATCCAGTTAATCGTATTCCACACGGATGGGAACAATATGTTTAGACGTTTAGTCATTAAAATTTCAATAAATAGAAGCCATTTAATTTAAAATGTGTTGGGCTTGAGAGTCAATAACGGGCAATAATGTACTTTTGGCCCAACGGTATAATTCATTTAAAATTTTTTAAATTTATTTTTTGTCTTATTATTATATTATAATATTATATTAACCTATATTATATTATATTATTATAAAAATAGTTAAATTCTTTAATAAATTCTGAATAAATGATTAATGATACTTTTAAAATCTTTAATAAACTCTTCTAAAAGAACGGCCTGTTCTGATCCAATGATATTGGATTCTAAGTTAGGGTTGTTTACGTAAAGTGAGTTGCACGTTCGAACTCCATAGAACCCTTTCTCCTAACCCCCAATTAATCCGTAAATAATTGCAATATGTTAAAAAAATAAAAAAAAAACTCCTCTAAAAATTCAAAATTCCTTTAAAAATCTTCAATAAATAGCAAATAAATACTTAATGGCCTTTGAAAATTATTAATAAATATCAACTAAATACTTAATGAGTCTTTTAAAATCCAAACACAATTATATTCTTAATAATAATCTTTTCATGTGTATCTTCAATATTATAACTTTAATAATAATATTTATTAAAAACAATTCTAATTCAATCTAAAATTTACTACTTTAATAATAATATTTTAACTTTAATAGTTTTGGAGTAACTTTTCTTTTAATTTTTTAAAGGTATAGTAGATAAACATTATTTCCTATATATGTAGAGTTCAAATTCACTAATACACAAATCTTACGCATCACATTTACACAAAATTTAACTATTTATCTTTTCATTTTCAATAATTAAAATTTATTTATTTTTATCATATTTATTAAAGA